TGGTTAGTGAAAAAGACTCTAGTTTGACTTTTAACACTTATGGAATTGTATTCATGTTTTTAATTTTATATGAGAAAAAGAGGAAAAAAATAAAAAAATAAGTAACGCTAAAATAAATTGTTCATGAGAATGTAAGTGTTTATGTTGTTAAAATGATAGAGAAATAATTGATGGAAAAAATTGATTGATGAAAATTTTTGGAGTTTTTGTGGTCCTATATGTTGTTATAACCATGTTTGAGTTAAGTGATTACTTTGCTTCACAACTTTCTTTAGCATTTAAACTTTTATATCTATCTCGTTTCCTACCTCGTTCTTGAGCTTCATTACAATCTATAATAAAGACCTTTTTGATTCATGTGTGCATGTAATCTAAGGAGTGAAGATTTGGTGAATAAAAACGCCTATGGTGGTGCATTTTTATAGAAAAATTTGAGTGAAATGCTTTATACTTAAACACTTACTTGAGTGAGTAGAGAGTCATGTGAGAAAATCTATAGAACCCTAGGTTGCTCACTCTTTTAATAAAATTGTTATGTTAATTTTTGTTTATTTTTACTAAGTGATCTTTGACTATGACATATCTTATTATCTTCAATCCTTGACTTGGTTTATGATTCATGGTGTGTATATTCTTTGAATGCCATTGAGATGAAGGTGAGAAAAGCTAGATGAATGATTTACTTGGTTTTGCTCAAGGACTAGCAACAATCAAGTGTGGGAGAATTTAATGATCAACACTAATGTATTTTATTGATTCTCATATATAATCTTTTAAATTTTTTTTAAGGTTATATGTACTGAATAATGTTTATTTTGTGATTTGAGAAATATTGAAGGCAAATGAGCAAAAATGTGTTTACTTAGACAAAATTCCATAATGTTGACATATTGACCTTTACGGAAAATATAAGAATTTCTCATCTTTAGAGTTAGAAAACATGAAAGAGGCCTTTTTAAGATTCAAAGTGAACATCTTAAACTTTTCAAGTTGGGTTTAAATGCATAAATCCAAGTTAATTTAAACTATCAAAGTCAATTACAAAATTAGGTCGGGAAATTGAATCTTTTTGCAACTTGAAACACTAATCAATATTTAGATCATATCTCAAGTTCTAGTTATTGAATTGAGGTGATTCAAAACCCTACAGGAAAAAAAAAAAACTTCCAGTGGCTACAACTTTCATTAATAGCCCAAGTTTAAAATCGACTACCAACCGATCCGAAATCAACTTGAAAGTTTTAGCATAAAATCTAAAGTTTCATTCAGCAAGTGTTATTAGTTTCGGGAATTAAGCCTATAAGATAAGATTTATCAAGTATCATATTTGTCTACTCACCTCTAGGGTTAGTCTAAAGAGATTGTGTATTCATTTATAAGAAATAGGACAAAAATACTTTTTATAGTTGGCTAATTATTTTATTTAGTTCAAGAGACATCAACTTCAGTTGGTATCAAATTGTGAGACACGAGTTTTATCTTTAAACTCTTCTTAATTCAAATATTTTTTATTTGTTTGATTTTAATTATTTATGATTGTATGAAATGATTGTATGAGAAGGCCTATCAATGAATTGTCTATTGTAATTGAGTGCTAACTATCTTTCATAATTCATAATTGTTATAAATGCTTAGTACAAGAAGCAATTAAGTTTTTATGATTATGATCCTAGTTTTCATAGATTACTTAAGGAAAACAAAGAATTAATTAAATAATTAAAATTTTTAAAATTCTTTTTTAGTCTTAGCTTCTTCTTAATTCATAATGCTATTATTAAATTAACAAAAATTGCCTAATATAGAATCAATTAATAATAAAAATTTAATTTTAATGTTGAACTTGAATTAATAAACATAATGAAGATTAAGATTTATCTAGCTTTTAGATACTTCTTGGCTATGTATTTGTTAAAAGAATAATAATTTAGATGTCTATGATTAATTTATAAATTGAATGTGAGATTTATTTATAAGGTTTATCCCATAATTGGTCCATGTATAGTTTTAATTTTTTTTATTGAGACCCTCTATTATTTTTTAGCTTGATTGAAACCCTCTACTCCTATAAATTTTTTAATTAAGACCTTTCGGTAACTATAAATCCATTGTGGCACTTTAAAAAACACGGTAGCCAATCAAGAACCGATATGTGAAAATGTGGACCCCAAATGTGAGATTATAATTCTAAAACAAAAAAATTTATAAATTTTTTAAAAATTATATATTAACATATTTTTAGTCTATAAAAATAAAAATAAAGGACCAAAATACCCCTACCATATTATATCACACAAGTCTTTTATTCTTCTTTATTTTTATGTTGTTTCGAATTATACCACCCAACTCTTTTGTTCTTCTCATCTTCTCCTTTGTTCTAACAATCTTAATTACCTTGATTTTCTCTTTTTTTAAAAAAAAAATCCTTAAATTTCAACTCATCTCTTCTTTTTCATTATTTTGGCAATCTCAATTGCCCCGATTCTCTCACTTTTTTTGTTTCAAAATCCCTAAATTACAACTTTTCTCTTCTTCTCTATTTTTCCGACAATCTCAATTGCCCTAATTCTCTCATTTTCATTATTTCAAAATCCCTAAATTCCTAAACATCTTAACCTCTAAATCCCTAAACAACCCTAAATCCCATTAACCTAATTCTATTGTTGAATCCTTAAATCTCAAAATCTCAACTTCTTTTTCCTCAAAGAGTTCCCTAGCTCCTATTCTCTCCGAGTCTCATGTTGGTAAGACCACTCGGCCTTATGGGTTCGATGTCCGGTCCAAGAAAGAATGGGTTTTGCTTGAAATTTCTAGTGATGATGTTGTCGGTGCTTTTAAACGAAACTCTAATCTCTTTTGAGCTTAAAGGTTTTGAAAACTCGTTCCTTAAAATGAGTAAGTTGTGGGTTAAACAATGTGGGATTAATCATACAAGGAGTTTTAAAGATCCGGGCATGACTGTTCTTGTTAATTAGGTTAATACATTAAGAACAATGAACAAACGTATTTTTGGTGTTAGCTATGCTTCAACGAGCAATACCTTTACTACTTTTTCTCGCTTATTGTGCTTCGCTAGTATTCCTTCTACTATTTTTCCGCATGCTAATAAGATTTCTATAGCCTAGCTCGTGCAACCCATTGCCAATGAGGCATTTGTTTTGAGTATTGATACCGATTTTGGTAGTTCTATGCGGTTGATAAGAGAGGTTACGTTTGAGTTGCTAATTTGTTTAGCTAATTCATTTAATAGTTTAAGGTTAGAAAGGTAGAAAACTCGTAGCCATCGAGATTTTAAAGCACACAATGTTTATTGATAAATTTGAGCATATGTTCATTTTTTTATTTAGTTTAGGATTAAATAGGTTAGGTTAATTAGGTCTTTCCCTTTTTTTATATTTAACTAATTTTTTTAATTTACAAAATTATTTAAAAATATATATTTTTTGGTTTTGATTTATAATGAAACGATTAGGACCCATATTGCCACATGTCATTGTCTAATTGACTACCGTTAATTTTAACTTACCACGGAAGATGAATAGTTAACGGTGTTATAACGAATGGTCTTAATCAACCAATTTGTAAGAATAATATGATAAATTAATTTTGATGAATTCAACAAGCATCAAGGATCCAACAACTATGTTAAAGAATCATTCCAAGCTTATCAACAAAACTTTAATACTATATCAAAAAACTACAATACGAAAGATTAAGCTATTGCATGAAGCCCCAATACATGATTTATATTACTCTAATAACAACATACCTGTTGGAAAAATAATAATAAAAAAAAAAAAAAAAAAAAAAAAAAAAAAACAGATGATTATACCATTGGCAAGCAATTTCCATTACTGCCTCAAGAAAATTGCTGAACTCTATTAATAATAGAAGATATTTAGAGGCTCATCAAGGTCTATCTACAAGTCAAGGCCTATTGGAACCCCAACAACAGCACAATATGACTATAGATGAACCCTCAATCCATACTGGATTACTATAATTTCAGACTCAAAAAAATGGAGAAAAGAAGGGAAAAGAAACCGCCCATTAAATGCCTCAATACTTTTTTAAACTCCATTACACCAATTAGCCAAGGCAATGCGGAAAGTCATTAACAGCACTCGGACATCCGGAAGACGGTTACCGATACGAAATAAAGTTGAAGGAAGAAGAAGACAGAAGAAAGGGAGGCAGGAAAAGAGAAGACAAATTTTGTTATGTTCTTGTATATTCCCTTTCGTTTCGTTTTTCAATTCTTATACTAGTATCCCCAATTGACAAATAACAGAAAATAAGTAACAGGCCCATACTAACATTAATTGTCCACGCCCAGAATGCACATTAAGCCCACAGTGGCATTAACCCAAATCCGGCCCAAACATTAGCTAGCCCATAATCAAATATATCTAGTAAATCCCTAATTCCCAATTCAATTAGGTTTCATCCCCAATTCCACTTCCATTCTTTCTGCCCGAATCAGTTTCATATGGTATGAAAAACCATAACTTAATATGACATAAAATATGAGGAAAACGGATTTATTTTAAAAAGGGAATGCATATTTGTTTGCAGAGCCTTCAAAACAATATAAATTACACATATATTGATGAATGATAGAAGAAACTAAAAGCAGATTGTAGATAAGGAATTGAGGCATTAAATAACAATGAGCAAGCAGTGCAATTTGATTACTTCCAATAAAATATAGTTCCAGCAATGCCACTTCCAAAATAACTTCAAGCATGATTCTTGCGTCATAAATGAGGCAACTAAAGGAATAGCAGAGCATCCATCAAACCAGCTAGCACCTTTTCGGTTCTCTACAGTGGCTCAGGAGCCACCCCAACCACAAACAGGACCTTAATTGGGAATATTCTCTCTGAATATGCATGTCCACTGCCGGCCTTACATATGGGCAAATATGGAAAATAAATCAAACATATTTTTTTGTTGAAAAATATAACAAACATATATCACAACATAAACCTTACCCTTAGAATTCAATGCCAAGGCCATTTGGCATCTCTCCACTTGAACCAACGTTTTCTATCAGCCAATTTTGTTGTATGATGTCCATCAGCTTGCCAACATTTATCCTTGTCCCATTCAAGTGCCTGATTACACTTAAGTTTCATATCACGTATCAGAGCTTCCTCTCGATATCTAGGGTTAGTATATCTAGGATGTTGGATAATATGAACATTTTTCCACCAGAGTCTTAAAGCCTGCACAAAACAAGGTAAACGGTACTGAACGGTTGATTTAATTCCAAATCATTCTGGATTTGTATTATAGCCAGGTGTTTTAAAAATAGACAGAAGGGTTCAAGTGTTTTAAAAGCAAATGTGTCAACCCATCAATATTATAAAATGAGAACCGCTTTGCTGGCTCAGTAAGCTCTATTTTTGTTCTAAAGATTCACCAGGTGAAGAAAACTATGTTAGTTCCAATTAAGACTATGATATATATGTTGGGAATAAATAAACAAGCTTATGACTTAAGTTCAGTTGATGCTGAGGTCCAAGACCCCAGGTCAAAAAGAGAATTAAGCCATTCAACTCCACTTACATGCAAATATATCCACAAAGCAACTTTATGTGGCATCAACCAGAAGAACATAGCATGATCAGACGCTGAGGAGAGTCTTTTGGCTTTCAATGAGGCCACAAAATAGTCACCGAGCTCAGGGTGCTGAACTGAAATAAACACAGATAAACTGTCTGTGGGATCATTTGCTTTGATACTCCAATTCCCCAGCATGTCCTGTAATTTTTCCATAAAATGCAAAAATGCACATTTCTAAGCGTGAAGAACTTTTCATTATAAAAGGGAGAACAATGAAATATGTTAAGGTAATAACTTTTGACACGAGAGATTGCAGGTTGTGTGATACTCAAATCACTTCAAGCTTCGTGACTTTGACATCTTAACATGTAAAGATAATTCAAATGTGAGCTTTTTTTTAAAAAAAAAAAAATCTTAACTAAGATGGTCCTAAATAAATTGAACGTACCAATTCAAAAGTGGGTCCAATATATCCTGATGGAAATCTACTGAGAGCGAATATATAAGAGAACGAAGAAAGAAGTATCTCCCACCATCGGAAGCCAAAAAGAGCCAACTCTCTTTGGAAAATTACCCCAAGACTCTCCAAGTACCTAATCCCAACAAATTAAGCTCATAGAAGACACCTACAGGTTTCATTTGCCAATTGTTTTCTCTCATGCCTTCTTGCTGTCACAAAAACTAATTTACAAGAAACAAACTTTATGGGAACTTTGATATTGCACTTCCTTATTTGCTTCATCATCACATCCCAGTCAAATAAGTCATAGTCTAATCCGATAATAAGGATGCAGAAGAGGTTCCTTGGTTTCTTCATTTGTCAAGGTATGAATGACCAAAGAAAAAAAAAACACACACGCGCGCACGTGGCGCACACACCCAACAGAATAGATATTGCTTATTATAATAGAAACCAATGAAGTAGATGAAAATTAAAATTCAAGGTCCACAGTGCTGCAGTAAGCATATTGATAAAAACAAAAATCAAATCATATGAAAGCGTGCTAGAAACGAAAAAAAGAATATAAGAGAAATGAATTTATCATTACCAATAGTGTAGTAAGAAACAAATAAATAATTGTAATCAACCACAACATGCAAGAGAAAAGCAAATATCTAAACATACCATAAAAGGGCTGACATGCAATGGCTTTGCCACTAGATCTGAGTTTGGCTCGAAAACAAACATGACTCTTTCACCCCATGGAGTATTTGTTACCTACACCAGAATTGCCACTAAACTCAGGAAAGACTATAGTCCATCCAAGCATCTCCATATAAGAAATTTAGCACACAATCAAGAAACTAATCATGCAGCAAACAGTGTCCTCTTCCTGTTATTTGCAAATTTGCATGTTTCAGGAGACAAATACATGAGAAATGTTTGCACAAGCATGGAGAGGAAATATGCATCCTCTCCTTTGTTCTCCCTTCTTATTTTTCCATTATCTTAGTACCAGAAAAAATAGGTATAAGCAATTTCCCATTTGGGGATGGAAATTATCTATTGAAAGCCCAATCCACTAAATTGAAGTGATAGACAAGATGGCCCAACCAGGAGGTGTGAGAGAGACTAACAACTAGGTGCATGAATGTGTTATAACATACCTTATTCTTATAGCTGTTAGATGATTTAAAATTTCCCTTTCTAGTTGATAAGAAATGAATTCATTGACTTCAACTCACTGAAGTCTAGTTGTTAAATAGAGGGTGCTAATTTCAAATTTAATATTCAAGGTTACTTTCTGAAATGAGGACATTCTTTGGAATTATGTACTACTCAGTTCTTAAAGTGAATACATACACCATTCTTCCATACAACCCAATTAGATTGAGCTTTTACTGTTTCTAATTTCAGAACTCGTTTTTCTAGGTTTTTTTGAATTAGAAGAAACTGCAGTTACCCAAATGGTACATGAATTTTTTTTCTTTTTTCCTTAAAGCAAAGGATTCGAATCACAGAATTTTTCGAGCCATGTCTAAATAATAAGTAATTAATTATCACAAAAATTCAAGTGCTATCACCAGGGTACCAATCCTGGTGTTGCACTTCATTATTCATCCAACTACTAAATAATTCACTGAAATTCTGTTGTTAGGTAGTTAACTAAACTAAATTCTAGCCATGTCTTATACTGTCAACTAAGACACAACAAAATTTCATAGATAAAATCCATCAGCCACGCCAGTTGATCATGCACCTGTAACTCCATTTGCGTAGAACAAGAACAGTTGACTTTTTTTTTTTTTTTTATACTAGCTTTGTTATTACACAAGCCTAGCTAGTAGTAATTGATTTCAAAACAATTTGATGATTTTTATAATTTCAGCATTAAAGGAGCAATTAATTATCAAAGGACAAACCTCAGCAATGCATTTCTTGAGAAGGCGAGCAGACCCATCCATGTCGTAGCAATAATACAAACTCAGCGGATTTTGTTCATATCCCACACTCGGAGGTATTGTCAGCAGAAAACTGCATCAAAACCACAATATTCATATATTATAATTCTCAATTATACATTATTTCGAAACCCCAGAAAGATGAAGAAGAAAAAACGTACACAGGTCCGATGGTCTTTGCGACTTGGCGAGCGTCATCGGCGGAGAGGTGGTCAGGAGGTGCGTGGGGCGTGTGGTCGAGGTCAAACAAAGCATAGCGCACCGAGTACCAGAATGAGTGGTGGACAGGGCGTCGACGTTCATGCCAGACAGTGCCTTCGTAGAGGAAGACGGCATTAGAGGAAGAGGAAATGGTGTAGAAGCTGTTGCGCGTGAAGAGAGTGCGCAGAATAAGGAGAACGGAGAGAGTGAGAGAAGTGAAGAATGTGGTAATAATTGAGCAGAGAAGCCAGAGAGCTTCCATTTTTTAATTTTTTTTTCCCAATTTTTTCTATTTGTCGTAGAAAATTCTGCAACGTCTGCAATATGTTGAGGCTACGGTGCCTTTGCCCTATTTTAATGACACGTGACAAGATAAGTTTGACGTTGGGCCAATAAAGCAGGGAAAGTAGTGTTCAATGGGTTATTCTGTTCAATTTCCAAGGAATTTAGTTTAATTTTCGAATGAAAAAAAACCGAAATCAAACCGAAATAGTGTTTTGTTTTTGGGTGAAATAATTAAAATTTCGATTTTAATTTTCATTTAATTCGATTTTTATTTTTTTAATTAAAAAAAATCTATAATTTTCTCGTTATATTTTTATATAAATGTTGAACTTGGAAGGAAATGCTAGTATTTACGTTAATTAATCAATAAGCCTATTTTTAAAATTTCTACATAAAAAAGAGAAATATTCCTCACAACAATTGAGCCCTTATCGATTTAAGTCTCCCAACAGTAGACTTTCTCAATCAAATTCCCATCTAATTGCATGTTATCCAATTTACCCACTCAGATCACACGGTTGGAATAGATTCTCATCTAAGTTTAGCTTCAATTTGCTATGCAATTAGGCACTTCCGCAATTCTGTCAAGTGGTGGTTAAACATTTATTTTTAGGCCTATTCCTTGCACGAAACAGTGGCAACACATAAAAGATGCTGATGCTTTGGACTAGTTAGAACTTGATAAACTCAGTATTACTCACATGGTTACATGTATATTATACCAAAATAAGTATAGTAAATTGGTGTACATATTCAATTATTATTCCACATTTCTTTCTCTGCGACTCTCTTTGAATTTTGATTGGTCTAAAAAATGAGAAATGAAGAGATCAGTTTCTAGTTGAGTTAGGCAACAACTCATCTTTAATTTCATAATGCAATTTCAACTGCTTGATAATAATGGCACTTTTTGCTTTCCTACACCATCTATCGTACTATCACTCTGGGCCATTAACTAGTTCTTGAACAAGTTGTGGCACATTCTCGGTGGTAGATGGACCATTGCTCATCCAAATTGTTATCTAGCAAATTTAAGCTATGATCGATGCGGAAAAAACGCAATGACTCAAAACTCTACATAACTCTACACAATCTCAATCAATAATCACAAAATAGAATTTATAATAAGTTGTTCTATCTCAATAAATACAACAATAATATTGTGAGTCCATAAATAATCAAATCCTTACTCAATTCCAAACATAAAATAGAATTACCACATAAGTTATCTAGTCAACTCGACTAAGGATTAAGTGCTCCCTAAGTCATCCTTGTTCAAACAAACTGAAAATTTATCACAATATACCTAACATACAATAGTAGATGAACACAAAAATTCAGATCAAATTAAGTTTTCTAAGACCTTATTTAGGTGAGACGAACTTCTACACCTTAATCTTTCTCTACACTATCCGAAATTCCGACAAGGTATTTAAACCCATACACCCCTCAAATCAAGTCCAAATTAACATACGTACAAGACGTTTGGTAGAGTTTTTCTATAAAGTTTTAGCCCTAACAAACAATCCTAGCTCCTCCAACGTATAGGTATTCCGAAAGCAACTTTTAAGAATTATGTTGGCTAGTTCATGCAATTAAAACTACCATTATTATAAAATCTTGCAAGTTTGATTAATCAATCTAGTGTTGTTGGGGCCTAAAAGTGAGCGGTGTAATGAGTCGGTTATGAATGGAAAAGATCGCTATGTCTTATCTAAGGTAGGTTGCAATGTATGCATGTAAAAACAAAAGTCCGATCTTACTATATTATGAACCTATGCCTACTTAAGTAAGTTCAAACTATATGAGTCGATTGATCGAGTATTCCATGACTTAAGCCGATCAAAGGCCTACGTCCATACTCTAAGCATAAAAGGGAATAGAAGTTCAAATTTTAGTTATCCCCTGTAGGTGGTAAATCCATATCAATAGATATGTGAGTCTCTAGAGATTAGGAGTCTATATTGTAACTTATGTCATATTCTCAACAAATGATGAGCCCCTAGTGGCAATAAGCTCAAATTCAAAGGATATGCGAACCTCTAGAGCCCACGAGCCCATATTATAACCCATCATCATGTCATGTACTCATAATGTCATGTTCATCATCATGTCAATTATCTCATCATGTCATGTTCATCATCTTGTCATGTATCTCAACATTTCATGTTCATCATCTTGTCATGTATCTCAACATTTCATGTTCATCATATTGTCATGTATCTCATTATGTCATATTGATCATCATGTCATGTATCTTGTCATGCCATATGCATCATTATATCATATATCTCTTCATGTTATGTTGAACATCATGTCATATACCACATTATGTCATGTTCATTGTTAATAGCCAAATTCTTACCCCTATGATTTCTTTTTATTTTATTTTATTATTATAAAAAAAAGAGAAAAAAAATACCAAAAAAAAAAGAGCGGGAGAAATGAGATCAATTAAAATAAGTAGCTCAAATTAATTTTAAAAGAAATAGAAAGCTTTAAAGTCAAAAGAAATCTAATTAAGGATACTTAAAAGGTCAAAAACCCTATGCTCTTAATTAAAATAAATGAAGGACATAATTAAAATAAATTAAAAGAAAAGGTCCTAATTAATTGTAATTTAAGAGTGCCTTTGAAATTCAAACAATCGAATCATACTTAAATTGATAAATTAAGAGGAATCAGTGGATCAAAATTGACTTTGTCTAAAAAACCCTAAAACCCACCTATAAATACCCTCATCTCTTACATTTTTTGATACTTTTTACTATTCATTCACCTCTCCTAAAAGCCAAAAGCACATAAAAAAAACCTCATTTTTCTTCATCCTATATAACCGAAACCTTACCTATAGCCACCCTCCTCCCCCTTCATATCCTATAGCCGAAATGTGACCCATAACTATCCGTTCCTTTCTCTCTCTCTCTTCCAACCGAACCACTTTCCCTCATAAGCCATTATAGTCACAAACCATACAAGACCCTTTTTTTCCCTCATAACCCAAAACCCAAATGAACCCTCATACCAATATAGTTTAAAACTCCCTTAACCTACAACCAAGCACTATTTATCATCTTCCCCATTTGAAATCGCTGCCTTTTTTTTTCTTTATCCAAATCTCTAAGTTTTTTTTTCCCTCACTCGATCGATCGCCACCTCCTAAGTCACCCAAACTTGCCATCATCATAAGCAACCTTCATCTCTAACCAAATTTCTTCATTTCATACAACCGAACCTTTTTCTCCTCTAACCGAATCTACTACCATCACATTAGCTTACTAGCTTAATGGAACCACCATTAACTCGTCATAACAATAACATCAAAATCCAACCGTCCGAAACCCACCTTTATCGTTGTCTTTAAACTATGACTAGTTGAACACTACAACCCCTCTCCTTCTTGATCGAACCATACCAACACATGGCTAGCCTCTCTTCTTTATAATTTCAATCTAAAAATACCTATTACTACAGACTTCATAACTTGGACATAATTAAGTAAAAAATAATGCAAACTTGTGAGTTGTTTTGTTATTGAATGTAGCAGGAGTTTGATTTAAGTATGGACAAAACAAAACTTAAAAAATGTTATTTAGATTATTGAGTTTGGCAAGAATAATATGATATTGTAGATCGCATTTATATTTTGTTTTGAGCGTAAAAAATATAGCAACTTCCTTGTTTCCAAACCCCTTAAGGTGCATCAACCTTGGCAATTTTCGAAGGCATTGGTAATTTTCTAAGATGTTAGCAAATTTGCAAATAACTATGGTAGTAGTAGTGACTTTCGCTATTTCTAATGATTTTAAAGCAACCGTCAATTACCTTAGCAAGACCCATACAATATTTTGACAAGTGGATAACCGTTTTTCTTTCTCGACTAACTAAATAATCAGTTATCATTGGGGATGAAGAGAGTGGAACTAACCCCAAATCGATCCTTGAATAAGTCCCGAACTTTTGAAATAATTTTGGGTAACTTTCAAATATATAAAGCTTAATTTTAAATAATAAATAAAAATAATGAAAATACCATGCCGTGAATAATTGAACTCGTCAAATATATTGCTTGAATATGAATGAAATAATTGTTAGTATGGGTATCCAAGATCTAACCTTGTTTGGATGGTTTGATATATTGTAATATTGCATTTTGATATTAATATAAAAGTTTTTTTTTATTAATTCTGGTTATTTTTAATTTGATAGAATTAGATAGAAGTCCATATGATATACATTGCATTAATGATTGATAAAAAGATATGAGATAAATATTGATACATTTAAATGGTATCATTAAATGTTCTAAATCATAGCTTTGTCAACAATGAACATTAACCATATGTAGTAAGACTTCGAGTGCTACGTTGTTGCTACAAGATAATAATAGGAGATCTCACGCTTATTGACATGATGATGTTAAAGCAAGCACTTAGGTGATTAATATTAAAAAACATATCACTAGATATGACTTCATTGTGAGAATCCATTTGGTTTAGTCTATAAAAATCTTATATTAGATGGGTACAACTAGTTCTTTTAATTTGAAATTATTACGATTATCTTATTAGAGGATTGGTGTACTTTGACACTTATTTTGATTGGCTCAATTAAGATCTACATATGAGTGATTCATTGAATGCATTAGGAATTAATAGAGATAGGTAGATGATTGAGATATGATATGTTATTCCTTCTATGCTAAAGGAGTTATCACATTGTACTTCGATGAATGTCTCGCTCAAGAAATATACGTTCATAGCAGGAGTATACCAATAGAGCATAGCCGATTTACTTTAGAGATAAGATATTTGAGAATCGAAAAAAACTTATGTGATCATAATCGAAGAAATTATAAATCAAGTTCGTGATCACATTGTGATGAATTAATATGAGGACCGAATTGTATGATAACCATGTTCGCGAAAGATAATTATCGATTAATTAATCCTATTAGAGACTTATGTAGTCATGATG